AAAAGAAATTCCGCCAATTAAACAATGTTTGGGTGTTGGATTTCCCATCAAAATCACCCGACATTTCGCCCTTAATTACAATCGGAATATCCTCGGGCCACGCGTCAGGAAACGTCCAAAGCAGTCGTAAAACTTATAGGAGCTGGCTTAATCTTTAACCGATAGGTAGGACAATGTTCACATTCACCTTAACCGTCGGTTCCAAAGTTCGATGCAATGGTATGCGCGTTTTGAGATTTTGCATAGTAAAATTGATTTTTCATGCGTTAATGTCTGATAAAGTTTATTCAGCGTTGCATTTTGTTTTGATTTATGACAAATCCAAACAAAACAAGTCTTCAACAAACACATTCACTTCAAAGTTAAAACGAATCACAACAATAACTAAATTCATTCATCTGGATTTAATGAAGTGTTCGCCCTTCATGTTTTACTAAATAAAGCCAAATACATGCAGTTCGCATTTTACAATCTAGATTTAATCATGCATAGGCTGTATCTTATTTCATGCGTGAAAGTAGGTGTAAATATGCATATATACATGCATGATGAGTATAGTCTATATATCAGTATTCATGTAGATGTAATTGCATGTATGTTTAGTTTGTATATCAGTATACATGTAGATGTAATTACATGGATGTTTAATTTGTATATCAGTATACATGGAGATGTAATTAAATGTATGTTTAGTTTGTATATCAGTATACATGCAGATGTAATTACATGTATGTTTAGTTTGTATATCAGTATACATGGAGATGCAATTACATGTATGTTTAGTTTGTATATCAGTATACATGGAGATGTAATTAAATGTATGTTTAGTTTGTATATCAGTATACATGATGATGTAATTAAGTGTATGTTTAGTTTGTATATCAGTATACATGGAGATGCAATTACATGTATGTTTAGTTTGTATATCAGTATACATGCAGATGTAATTACATGTATGTTTAGTTTGTATATCAGTATACATGCAGATGTAATTACATGTATGTTTAGTTTGTATATCAGTATACATGCAGATGTAATTACATGTATGTTTAGTTTGTATATCAGTATACATGGAGATGCAATTACATGTATGTTTAGTTTGTATATCAGTATACATGGAGATGCAATTACATGTATGTTTAGTTTGTATATCAGTATACATGATGATGTAATTAAATGTATGTTTAGTTTGTGTATCAGTATACATGTAGATGTAATTACATGTGTGTTTAGTTTGTATATCAGTATACATGTAGATGTCATTACATGTATGTTTAGTTTGTATATCAGTATACATGTAGATGTCATTACATGTATGTTTAGTTTGTATATCAGTATACATGTAGATGTATTTACATGTATGTTTAATTTGTATATCAGTATACATGGAGATGTAATTAAGTGTATGTTTAGTTTGTATATCAGTATACATGTAGATGTAATTACATGTATTTTTAGTTTGTATATCAGTATACATGGAGATGTAATTAAATGTATGTTTAGTTTGTATATCAGTATACATGTAATTGTCATTATGTATTATCCGTATATGAAAATACATGTAGATATGATTATGAATTGTCTTATGTAAAGTCTATTTATCAGTATACATGTGAGTGTAATTCTGTATAGTCTGTATATAAGTATACACGTAAGTGTAATAACTTATACTCTGTATATCAGAATACATTCAAGTGTAATTATGTTTAGTCTGTATATAAGTATACACGTAAGTGTAATTACCTATAGTTTGTATATCAGAATACATTCACGTGTATTTATGTATAGTCTGTATATAAGTATACACGTACGTGTAATTACGTAGAGTCTGTATATCAGAATACATTCAATTGTATTTATGTTTAGACTGTATATAAGTATACACGTACGTGTAATTACGTAGAGTCTGTATATCAGAATACATTCAATTGTATTTATGTATAGTCTGTATATAGGTATACACGTACGTGTAATTACGTAGAGTCTGTATATCAGAATACATTCAAGTGTAATTATGTATAGTCTGTATATAAGTATACACGTACACTACTGTACATATGGCCATGAAAAAGCCATGAAATTACCATGAGATAAATGCCATGAAAAAGCCATGAAAAAGCCCATGAAACACGACCTTTTTAATGGCCCTTATTTTGTTAAACCCCATTAAATTACCATGAATATATTTTTTCAGCCATGAAAGAACAGAAATTCAAAGCCATGAAAAAAGGCCATGAATGAGTGTGTCAAGGAAATTCATGGCCCATGAAACATAAAAATTCATGGCCCATGAAACATCAAAATTCATGGCCATGAATTCAGCATGAAAATTCTAGGATAGAAATTATCATGGCCATGAAAAAAATCATGGCCATGAAACCCCCCCTGAAACATGACCGAATTCATGGCCCATGATTTTTTTGCCATGAAAAAGGTCTTTTTTTGCAATTTTCATGGCCATGAAAATAAAAAAATCCTACCATGAAAAATACACGGATTAAAACTACATATAATTTCATGGCCATGAAAAATTATGCTCCACCACGAAAAATGAAACTCATAAATAATACAGGCATATATAAAGTTAGGCTGCATGTTTAAAATATTATCAGAGTACTTTCCGGATTTGAACAAAAACAAGGAGAGGAACGAGAACATGAACCACCTCCATTTACACAGGTAAGATCAGATGTTCCTTCGTGTGTCGATCTCGTCTTTATAAAGTTGTGTTTAACCACTAAAATATAAACCAGCAAACAAAATTACATTTTATCATTTTATGTTATTTTGTGTGTGAATGAAAATTGAATAGAAAGTCAATAATCATTGGGTTTCATCATCAGATATTGCCATAAGATTTTAGGAACAATTCAGAAATGTTTCAGCAAAGCCAACTGCTATATATATGCATAAGCAAACCTTACTTTGATTTCTAGCCAAACAACATTAAGCAAGTTCCAGGACATTTCACCAATGCTTCTTAATCACTGTTTGCTAAACAATACAACACACACTTCAACACAAGGACCAAAAAAAAAAAAATGTCTTGTTTCTCAAATTATTGTTAGATAAATTTAGGGCAATTACTGACTGTAGTGATGGGTAACTTTAGTCCATTTAAACCGTTTTCTAAGTGATTTTTTTTTTATATATATATCGTCTTCAAATAATAAAAATAAATTTAGAAGTAAGAACGACATGAATGCCCTCCTGCTTTCTGTCACAAAATCTTTCTATTTTAGTAATTTAAAAAGGATGACACTGTCTGACCTTCACCCGAGAATCCAAAAATGCAAACTAAATGTCAATCATCAAAATTAGATACAAATATTTGTGTGTGTTGTCATGACGCTGTTTATTACAATATGAATGTCTCCATTATTGATGCAGATCAAGATCATGATTTAAAGTACATAAAACTTAAGAAGGCAAGAATTAAAAAGTTACACAAACCTATGATCACTAGTTACATATGGTGAGTGAATGAAGTATATCTATATTTGTGTGATCGTGTCTTGTACATGTAGCTGTGGAACTTTAGAAAGTGATAGTAATTAGTATTATTGTTCCATTATTATACACGAATTTCACATTGAATACTTTGAGATTGTTATATTTTATGAGATTGTGTCATCCCATACGTATGCTGTTTTAAATCATAATATGAGATGTTGTTTTAAATCATAATGTGAGATGCTGCACATAATACTCGAAAGAGGTTGATGCAGAATATATAGATAGATAGATAGAAGTGTGTAGCTTACATAGTCCTATATGAACACCGACCATCTGTACTCTTATACAGGAATTCGGGTGTAAATTATCTCATATTGTTGTATTTCATCAAATTGTAACATGATACAAGTATTCCATCCAAATAAGGTCGTAGTATTATGTTGTTAGTCTGTAAATTAACGATATAAGTGTTTAAA